AAAGAAAGAAAGAAAGAAAGAAAGAAAGAAAGAAAGAAAGAAAGAAAAGAAACACATACACACACAAACGCACACAGACACACACATACACACAACTCACACAGCACCACCATCACCATCAAAATAACAAGAACTAACAATCATTGGTCATTAATATCTCTTAACATCAGTGGACTCAATTCCCCAATAAAAAGACAAAGGCTAACAGAGTGGATCATTAACAGGACCTATCATTTTGCTGCTTACAAGAAACACACTTCAGCCACAAAGATAGATATTATCTCAGAGTAAAGGGCTGGAAAAAAGGTTTTCCAAGCAAATGGATCCAAGAAACAAGCTATAGTAGCAATTCTAATATCGAATAAAATAGACTTTCAACCAAAAATAATCAAAAGAGATGCAGAAGAATACTTCACACTCATCAAAGGAAAAAAATCTACCAAGATGATACCTCAATTCTGAACATCTATGACCCAAACCCAAGAGCACATACAGTTGTAAAAGAAACTTTACTAGCTGTCTCTGAGCACAGCTTCTGAACAACAATGAGTTACCTGTCACTTTGCACCTGGATCTTTGCCTGAGACTCTTCATTTTGTGCTGATCTAATATATCTGGTCTTAAGACCCTCGAAACAACTGAGGCTGGTCCTGGGCAATTTAGTTAAATAAGATTATGGTTCTGAGGGGAAAATATAACAAGAGTCAACAATCTGATCAAACAGTATCACGTCCTCTTTATTTTGTTTGTACTTGCATACTCATATGGACAAAAGCCCTATGAATTTAAACAATAAAGTAATCCTTTCAGAAAAAAAAAAGAAACTTTACTAAAGCTTAAATCACACACTGAAGCCCACACATTAATAGTGTGAGACTTCAACACTCCATTCTCACCAATTGACAGGTCATTGAGACAGAAACTAAACAGAGAAATAACGAAATTAATAGCGGTTATGAACCAAGTAGACCATCAGATATCTACATAACATTTCACCCAAACACAAAAGATTATACCTTCTTCTCAGCACCACACAAAGCCTTCTCCATGATTGACCATATACTCAGTCACAAAGCTAGTCTCAACAGATACAACAAAATTGAAACAATTCCTTGTATACTATCAGACCACAATGGATTAAAGCTGGACTTCAACAACAGAAACAATAGAAAGCCTACATACTTAGGAAAACTAGACAAGTTTCTACTCAATGATCTTTGAATTGGAGAAGAAGAAAAAAAGAAAGAAATTAAAGACTTTCTAGAATTCAATGTAAATGAGGGCCCAACATACACAAATGTATGAGAGACAATGAAAGCAATGGCTAAGAGAAAAGTTCATAGCATTAAGTGCCTTCACAAAGAAATTTGAGAGGTCTTATACTAACAATTTAAAAGTACACCTGGAAGTTCTAGGTTAAAAAAAAGAAGCAAATACACCCAAGAGGAATAGATGGCAGGAAATAATCAAACTCGGGGCTGAAATCAATCAGTTAGAAACAAAAAGAACAATACAAAGAGTCAGCAAAACTAAGATCTGGCTCTTTGAGAAAATCAACAAGATAGGCAAAGCCTTAGCCAAACTAACTAAAAGACAGAGAGACAGTGCCCAAAATAACAAAATCAGAAATGAAAAAGGAGACATAACAACAGACACTGAGGAAAGTCAAAGAATCATTAGGTCTTACTTCAAGAGCCTGTACTCCACAAAATTGGAAAAATGTAAATGAAATGAATGGGTTTTTAGACAGATATTACTTACCAAAGTTAAATCAAGATCCGATAAACTATCTAAAAAGTCCTAAGGAAATAGAAGCAGTCATAAAAAGTCTCTCATCCAAAAAATAAAATAAAATAACCCCAGGGCCAGATGGTTAGAACACAGAATTCTACCAGACTTTCAAAGAAGACCTAATACCAATACTCCTCAAACTATTCCATAATATAGAAACAAATGAAACATTGCCAAACTCATTCTATGAGGCCCAAGTCACTCTGATACCTAAACCACATGAAAGACTCAACAAAGAAAGAGAACTTCAGACCAATTTCCCTGATGGACATTGAAGTTAAAATACTCAACAAAATACTGGTAAAGCAAATCAAGAACACAACAAAGATATCATCCACCATGACCAAGTAGGCTTTATCCCAGGGGTACAGGAGTGGTTCAATACAGGAAAATTCAGAAATCTGCCTAGGTATGTATTCAAAGACATTTTTTTCAGAGATCTATGCATCTCCACATGTGTGATTACACATGGATTACAATAGTCAAGATTGTGAAACAACCTAAAGGTCCATTGACAAATTAAAGAATAATGAATAGGTTAAACATAATTTGTAAAAGATAGATGTATATGAATAGATGTGTGTGTGTGTGTGTGTGTGTGTGTGTGTGTGTGTGTGTGTGTACAAGAGAGAGAGAGAGAGAGAGAGAGAGAGAGAGAGAGAGAGAGAGAGGGAGAAAGAAAGAGAAAGAGAGGAAGGAGAGAGCTTGCTTCAACTTTGGTAAAGATAAAGCTATTTGTCACAAGAATAAATCTATACAGCATTGTGTTACATGAAAGGAGTCAGGTACAGAGATAAAAACTGTCATCTCATTTCTATGTAAAATCAAAAAATATAAAAATCATAGAAGCACAGTATGAAATGATGGGTTTTAGAGACTGGAGTAAGGGTGAAAAGAGAAGGTATCAGTCAAGAGGTTCAAAGTCTGATTTGTGTAAAATGGCTCTGCTTAAAATACCTAAAATAAATGTGGTTAATTTATACAACGGGATACTAATTAGCTATTAAAAACCAAGAAATCACTAATTTTGAAGGCAAATGGATGGAACTTGAATATATCATCCTGAGTGAGATAACCCAGAACCAAAAGGAAATGTATGGTATGTACTCACTGATAAGTGCATATTAGCCAAAAAGGAAGGAATAACCACAATACACTCCCATAGACCCTAAGAAGTTAAAGAAGAAAAAGGCCCACATGGGGATGCTTCAATCCCACTTAGAAGGGGAAACAAAATAATCATGGGAGACAGAGGGAAGGAAGGACCTGTGTGGGAGAGGGGAGGGGAAGGGGAGCCAGGATCAGGTATGGGGGGGGGGAGATAGGAGAGAAGGCAGAGGACCAAGAGAATGAATGAAAATATGTGGCTGCCAGGGATGGGGCTATGGAGGGAACCTCTAGAAAGTCCCGGAGACCTGGGGTGTGAGAAGTTCCCAGGATTCAATGAGGGTGAAATGCCCAACAGTAGGGTGATGGAACCTGAAGAGATCACCTCCAGTAGTTAGGCAGTTATCCCTCTAGTGGAGGGATAGGGACACCAATCCACTTTCAGACCCAGAATTGTTCCTGTCTTAAAAAAAAAAAAAAAAAAAAAAAAAAAAAAAAAAAACAGAGACAAAAATGGAGCAAAGACTGAAGTAACTGCCAGCCAGTGACTGGCCCAACTTAGGACTCATCCCATGGATGGGCACCCAACCCTGACACTATTACTGATGCTATGATGTTCTTGCAGACAGGAGCCTAGCATGGCTTCCTCTAAGTGGCTCTATCAGTAGCTGACTGAGACAGACGTACTTACAGTCAACCATTGGACTGAAGTCAGGGACCCCTGTGGAAGAGTTAGGGGAAGGATTGAAGGAGCTGAAGGGGATTGCAACTCCTTAGGAAGAACAACAATATCAACTAACCCTGACCTCTGAGAGCTCCCAGAGACTAAGCCACCAACCGAAGAGCATACACAGGCTAGTCCTAGGCCCCCAGCATATACATAGCAGAGGACTGCCCTGTCTGGCCTCAGTAGGAGAGGATGCCCCTAATCCTGTAGCTGCCCCCTTCCAGGGAAGTGGGGTGGTGGGAGTATTCCCTCTCAGAGGCAAAAATCTGGGGTGGGGGTGGGGGATAGGATGAGAAGCTCTGGGAGAGGGGCTCTGAGAGGGGACAAAAATAAAGCATGTAATGATCAAAATAAATGAATAAATAAATCTAAAGTACAGTAGTATTCTCTTTTATATTTAAAATTCTCTAAGAGCTTAGATCTTAAGATTTTATTAAACACAAAAGGAGAAAACAGTACTATAGGATATTATAGATACTTTAATTAGCTTGATTATGTCAAATATCTAAGCATATATACACATATCAAACTATCAAGACACATACCCAAAGACAATTTGTATTTACCATTTATATCTTAGCAAAAATACTTTTAAAGCTATGTAAATATTAAGTAAAAACTGAAATTGATGTAATGATTACTGTTGTTCTGGCCATGTTAAAAAAAAAATACTGAGAGTCACTGATTTCAATGTAACAAAAATTTTACCTGATCCATATATTGTCGCACACTCTCTGTCCAGGTTGGGGCAGTCTCCATCATAACAGATAGCCCCACCTTCTCCACAAGAAATTCCATTGTTTAGAATTACATCAGGTGGACAGTGTCCTGAGCTCCCGTTGCAGACTTCAGGAACGTCACAGTACGCATTCCTCATGCTTCTACATTCATCATCTTTTGGTAAATACTAACAAAAATATATATATATAACAATATTGTGTTCACAAGTATTTCAAAACAGTACTGAGTATTTGTTCTTTTGATTCCTCTGTGGTTTTTAATCTCTTAGTATAAGTTACTGTGATAGTCACTTAAAAATAAATTGAATGTTTGTATGAGAACAAGAGATGAGACATAGGTGTATAAGGAATGGTAGGTATAACAGAGTGTGCCATGGAGTCATGAGCATGCCTTGGTGGGGAATGTGCTTGTTGTAAAAGCATAAGGGCCAAGTCTCAAGTTCCCAGAACTCACATAACAACTGGACCTGGCAGTGTACACCAATAATCCTAATGTGGGTGCCAGGAGGATCAGACAAGAAGTTTCCAAGGTTCATGGGTCAGCTGGTCTAGCTGAAATAACAAGCTTCAAGCTGAGAAAGAGACACAGATCAAAGAAAGGAGCCAGAGAAGCAATAGGGGAAAACCATACCAGTGCCAACCTTGGCCTTCACATATGCCCATATAGGCCAGTGTAGGCATGTGCACTGGACACACACGCGTGTGCACACCTGTGCATGCACACATACATGTACACACACACCGACATCTTGTACTTTCATTTAAGGGAGCAAGGACTACAGTTAACTTTCTGAATTTCTCTTATAGAGTGAAAATATTTTAATTAGGTCAACTTCAAAAAAGTTATAAATATTTATACCCTAGATTGCAATTGTGAAATACTCATCAACTCCAAGACAAATTTAAACAAGTACCTGAGAAAAGTGTGGGGAACAGATGACTGATGACTACAGTAGCACTGAAAGCATAAGAAGTTTGAAAAGGGAATCCAAACAGAACCTTTCTGTTACATTTATAGTATTTCATAAAGAGAATTCTGAAGGTTTACAGAAAGAATACTACAGAATAATCTAGCTCATACTTCTTGGTCATTATTTTCATTTGACACTTCAAAGTAATCACAGAAGATCAATATAACCATGTTATGAATTTCTAGGGGAAAAAATGTAACTGTGTCAAATTGAGAACAATGGAGATGATACGAATGGCAAGTGGTTCCTCTGTGGTATTCTCCTATGGGATCCTCACTACAAAACACAGACCCGGAAAGGAAACCAGAGCAGCAGTCAACACGGATGGGATCTGTCAGTAATGGCATTGCCTATTACTAAGAAGTACATACTTCAGTTTTTAAAATTATATATAATCCTATTTGGAAAATGTTAGCTGGACCTGATAGTGGACTCCTGTAATGCCAGATTCTTGGGATACAACAGCAGGAAGATTGTAAATTAAAGGACAACCAGAGATACAGATTAAGCTCAAGTACAGCTTAGGTCTGAGAAAATCTGCCACACAGAAAAGATGGGGGGTGGGGTGGGAGACAGCTTCTAGTTAACAAAAACAGTGATATCAGAGAGAGACTGACTTTGCAGAAATGTTCACACAATAAGAAATTGAGTCCTTAATTTGTTATCATCTTTCTTCTCTTCAAAAGTAATTTTTTCCACATAAAACTGTAGCCATAAGTCAATACATTCTGTGTATAATTTACTAGGTGCTTATGTAATGCTACTAAACTTAAATCTTACTTGACAATCTCTGCAGCAGGTTGACGAAGGAGAGCTACTGTCACAAACATTTCCTGATTTCAGAGTACAAGAGTTAGGATCACAACAGCTATCAGGCCCACATAGCTGCAAAGGAAAACACATGGTAGTAACAAAAAAAATTGATAGAGGTACGTAATCAAGGATAGTATTAGCAATAGTAGCATGTACAGACAACAATATCCATTAACACTCACAATGCTTCACCGGGTGTTAATAGAGTGACTGATGTTCTACTCCCCTCCCAATCCAATTAGAAGCCATAGAAAAATATAGAAAATAACTTTTTTCTGAAGTTGTATACAACAGGGAAAGAACCACAAATCACTACAGAAGAAAATCAAAGAAATTAATCCAGAGCTTGGAAGGTGTTTTCCTGAGCAGACCATAATAATCTTAATGATTAGCTACGGTGGTTAGGGTTAGGGCAACAAGCTAGTTGCCTCTAACCTACTGCTATCTGCAAACCTTTAAGGCTAGTTCCAGACCCAGAGAATGCAAACTCTCATTGTACATGAGCCACCTTTCCCAAGAGTCTTTTCTTTCCTACTCTACCACCCACTCCCCATCTTCTCTATTTCTCCCTTGCATGTAGCCATCTCTACACCCACAGGCCTAAGTCCAGCTGGTTTGCCTTTGAACCTGCCTTGTTCAAAAGCTACCTTTGAATGGTAAGACACTCTTTCCCTCTTCTATTGTTCCCTCTCCCAGTTTGTGATGGTTTGAATATGCTTGGCCCAGGGAGGGGCACTATTAGGAGGTGTGGCCTTGTTGGAGGAAGTGTGTCATTGTGGGTGTGGTCTTTTAAGACCCTCATCCTATCTCCCTGGAAGTCAGTCTTCTCCTGTTTGCTTCTACAAGATGTAGAACTCCCAGCAATTCCTACATCATATTTGCCTTGATGCTGCCATATTCCTGCCTAGATGACAATGGACTGAACCTATGAACCTGTAAGCCAGCCCCAATTAAATTTTGTCCTTATAAGAGTTGCCTTGGTCATGGTGTCTGTTCACAGCAGTAAAACTCTAAGACACTGTTGGTATCTTGGCATCCACAGGCATCTTTCTAGACCCTTGGTTTCAGAGCAAATTTTACCTGGTCCAGTTGAACAGCTTATTTACTAGCTTGCTTGATCTGGTTTCAGGTCATGCAGCTCTAAACTGAACCAATCTAAGGGAAGACTGATTATCATATCTGACAAACAGCCAAAGAAAGAAGTCCACATGCCCAGGTCAGAGCATCAAAATAAGAACAACAGAAATGACCAAAACAGAATGTCTCCCAACATACCAACTAGTCCTTAGAAGTGGTATCTATAAGAAGAACCTAGATGAACCCCAGGATGCAGAAATTAAAAGAGCAATTGTATGCTTTATAAAATAATTCAAGTGATGTAAAGTAGACATAAACAGTCACTTCAATGAACTCCAAGAGGATAACAAGAAACCCTTGAGCAAAGGAAATACAAATACATAGCTGAATGTATTTGAATACTGAATTCAATGTAAAGAGATAGAAACACTGAAAAGAAGAACATATACTAAAAAAAAAAAAAAAAGATGAATTGAAAATTTTCATATCCCAATTAGAAAACTCAAGAAACAGTCTTACAAGTAGAATGAATCAAGCAGAATACAGAAAGACTACTGGGACTCAAAGTAGAAGATCTAGACAAAGTAATGACTATGAGCCCACAGAGATCCTGTGCCACAGCACTCCATACCTGAATACCGCAGGGAGAGAGCTGGTCTCCCAGGAGTACAGAAACCCCTGTGAGTATAGGTAAGACCAACACTTTTGCTCAAAGGGACCCATCTGGAACCCTCAGGACACAGGAACCAAGGAGCAGCTCAGGACAGGATCCTTCTGGTTTCCATCTGCACCTGGAGCTAACCCTGTGCCACAGCACTCCATACTCAAATACAGCTAGGAGAGAGCTGCTCTCCCAGGAGTGCCAACACACTTGTGACCACAGGAGGGACAAGCCACAGTCACAGACAAGCAAGACCAGCTAACACCAGAGATAAGCAGATGTAGAGAGGCAAGGGCAAGAACATAAGCAACAGAAACCAAGGTTACTTGGCATCATCAGAACCCAATTCTCCCACCACAGCAAGTCATGGATATCCCAACACACCAGAAAAGCAAGACTCTGATTTAAGATCACATCTCATGTTGATGATAGAGGACTTTAAGAAGGACATAAATAACTCCCTTAAAGAAATACAGGAAAACATAAATAAAAAGGTAGAAGACCTTAAAGAGGAAACACAAAAATCTCTTAGAGAATTATAGGAAAACACAATCAAACCAGTGAAGGAATTGAACAAAACCATGGGTCTAAAAATGGAAATAGAAACAATAAAGAAATCACAAAGGGAGACTACCCTGGAGATAGAAAACCTAGAAAAGAAATTGGGGGTTACAGATGTAAGCATCACCAACAGAATACAAGAGATAGAAGAGAGAATTTCAGGTGCAGAAGATACCATAGAAAACATTGACACAACAAAGAAAATGCAAAGTGCAAAAAGCTCCTAACCCAAAACATCCAGAAAATCCAGGACACAGTGAGAAGACCAAACCTAAGGATAATAGGTACAGAAGAGAGTGAAGATTCCCAACTTAAAGGGCCAGTAAATATCTTCAACAAAATTATAGAAGAAAACTTCCCTAACCTAAAGAAAAAGATGCCCATAAACATACAAGAAGCCTACAGAACTCCAAATAGATTGGACCAGAAAAGAAATTCCTCCTGTCACATAATAGTCAAAACATCAAATGCACAAAAGAAAGAAAGAATATTAAAAGCAGTAAGGGAAAAAGGTCAAGTAACATATAAAGGCAGACCTATTGGATTACACCAGACTTCTCACCAGAGACTTTGAAAGCTAGAAGATCCTGGGCAGATGTCATAAAGACCCTAAGAGAACACAAATGCCAGCCCAGGCTACTATACCCAGCAAAACTCTCAATTACCATAGACAGAGAAACCAAGATATTCCATGACAAAAACAAATTTAATCAATATCTTTCTACAAATCCAGCTCTACCAAGGATAATAGATGGGAAACACCAACATGAGGAGAGAAACTACACCCTAGAAAAAGCAAGAAAGTAATTTTTTCCAATAAACCCAAAAGAAGATAGCCACACAAACAAAAATAACATCAAAAATAATAGGAAGCAACAATCACTACTCTTTAATATCTCTTAACATCAATGGACTCAATTCCCCAATAAAAAGACAAAGACTAACAGACTGTATATGTAAACAGGACCCAGCATTTTACTGCATACAGGAAATACACCTCAGTGTCAAAGACAGACACTACCTCAGAGTAAAGGGCTGGAAAACAATTTTCCAAGCAACAAACAAACTGGAGTATCCATTTTAATATTGAAAGAAAAAGTTATCAAAAAAGATAAGGAAGAATACTTCATACACATCAAAAAAAAATCTACCAAGAACAGCTCTCAGTTCTGAACATCTATGCTCCAAATGTGAGGGCACCCACATTCATAAAAGAAATTTTACTAAAGCTAAAAGCATACATTGCACTTCACACAATAATAGTGGGAGACTTCAACACCCTGCTCTCATCAATGGACAGATCATAGAAACACAAACTAAACAGAGACACAATGAAAATAACAGAAGTTATGGGCCAAATGGATTTAACAGATATCTATAGTACATTTCATCCTAAAACAAAAGAATATACCTTCTTCTCAGCACCTCATGGTACCTTCTCCAAAATTGACCATATACTCAGTCACAAAACAGGCCTCAACAGATACAAGAAAACTGAAATAACCCCATGCATCCTATCAGATCACCATGGACTAAGGCTCGTCTTCAACAACAACAAAAACAACAGAAAGCCCACAGACACAGGGAAGCTGAACAATGCTCTACTCAATGATAAATTGGTCAAGGAAGAAATAAAGAAAGAAATTAAAGACTTTTTAGAATTTAATGAAAATGAAGACACAACATACCAAATTGTTGGTACAGTGGCAGGCAGGGAGATCAATGGAATAGGATTGAAAAACCAGAAACGAACCTACACACCTATGATCACTTGATCTTTGACAAAAAGCTAAAACCATCCAGGATTTTCAACAAATGGTACTGGTTCAACTGCAACATGTAGAAAAATGCAAAATGATCCATTCTTATCTCCCCATACAAAGCTCAAGTCCAAGTGGACCAAGGACCTCCACATAAAACCAGATACACTGAAACTAACAGAAGAAAAATTGGGGAAGAACCTCAAACACATGGGCACAGGAGAAAAGTTCCTGAATAGAACACCAATGGCTTATGCTCTAATATCAAGAATCAACAAATGGGACCTTATTAAAAAAAAAATTGCAAAACTTCTGTAAGGCAATAAACACTGCCAATAGGACAAAACGGCAACCAACAGATTGGGAAAAGATCTTTACCAATCTTACATCTGACAAAGGGCTAATATCCAATATATACAAAGAACTCAAGAAGTTAGACTCCAGAGAACCAAATAACCTATCAAAAAAAAGGGGGAGAACAGAGCTAAATAGAGAAGTCTCAACTGAGGAAACTAGAATTGCCGAGAAGCACCTAAAGAAATGTTCAACATCCTTAGTCATCAGGGAAATACAAATCAAAACAACCCTAAGATTCTACCTCACACCAGTCAGAATAGCTAAGATCAAAAACTCAAGTGACAACAGATGCTGGTGAGGATGTGGAGAAGAGAAACACTCCCTCCATTGCTGGTGGGATTGCAAGTTGGTACAACCACTTTTGAAATCAGTCTAGATGTTCCTCAGAAAATTGGACATAGTACTACCTGAGGATCCAGCTATACCACTCCTGGGCATATACCCAGAAGATGCTCCAACATGTAATAAGGACACATGATCCACTATGTTCATACTAGTCATAGTTATAATAACCAGAAGCTGGAAACAACCCAGATGTCCCTCAACAGAGGAATGGATATAGAAAATGTAGCACATTTACACAATGGAATACTACTCAGCTATTAAAAACAATGACTGCATGAAATTTGCAGGCAAATGGATGGAACTTGAAAATA